ATGGGTAGCAATACTTATACCAGACAAAATAGACTTTAAAACAAAGGCTAAAACAAGAGACAAAGAAGGACCCAGCAATTCCCTTCTGGGTATTTATCTGGATAAACCCAAAAACTAATTCAAAAGGACATATGCATCCTTATGTGCATTACACCATTATTTACAATAGCCAAGATATGGAAGCAACCTAAGTAGCCAAAAATAAATGCATAGATAAAGAAGTGGCACATATTTACAATGGAATATTCCGAGGCTACGAGAAAGAATGAAATCTTGCCATTTGTGACAACATGGGTGGATCTAGAGGGTATTGTGCTGAGTGAGATAAGTCAGATAGAGAAAGACAAATACCGTGATTTCATTCATGTGCCAATCAAAAGAACAAAATAGTGAACAAGAACAAAAACAGACTCACAGATACAGAAAACAACTTGACAGTTGTCAGAGGGGAGGATTTTGGGTGACTAGGTGAAAAAGGTGAAGGAATTAAGAAGTACAAATTGGTAGTTACAAAATGGTCATGAGGATGTATAGTATATAGTCTATAATATTGTAATAAGTATGTATGGTGTCAGATGGGCACTAGATTTATTGATGATTTTGTAAGTTATATAAATGTCTCATTACTCGGTTGTACACCTGAAACTAATATAATATTGTACATCAACTATAATTGAAAAAATTTAAAAATATTTTAAAAAGTGAAAAATAAATGTCCCCAGTGTGCCTGTCAGTCTCTCCAGAGAAGAATTTCTCAGAGGATCCCACCGCGTGTTAGTAGCACATCTTTCAATGAACAGGACTTAAAAGCCATGAGGTAGATGGGACACAGCCCAGGACACAAGTCAACAAGGGATTTAGTCCATTTACTCACTCCTGTGGCCAGTATTTCTTGAGTGCCTCCCCTGTGCTAGGAACCATATCCATGCTAGAAGTATAAAGATAAAAGAAATGTGATTACCTAAGGTGCCCTCAAGTTTCTCTCAAATCTGAGGAAGGTATTATAAACATGATTTATGTGCTCTATATATGCTGAGTGAATATAATTATAATGCTGTGTGATTTCTGCTGCGACTGAGCTGTGAGCAGCAAGCATGCAAACATGCACACAGAGTAACTAAAGCCCAGATGGGGTGATTCAGTATCAGGGTGAGGGACGGTTATGGAAAGCTCCGAGGTATCCAGGCTTGAGCATTACAAGATGACAAGGCAGAGGGGTGGGGAGCAGTTGTTCCAGACAGAACAGCAGCTTAGTAACTCATGGATGTATTGACCATGGGGAGAAGAGGATGAGGCGAGCAGGAGAGAAGAAATGCAAAGGCCCTGGGGTGATGGCTCCCCAGAGAAAGGGGTCTAGATGAAAACCGCAAAGCAGTGAGAGATTTGAAGCAAGAGACTAACAATCATATTTTACTTCCGTTTCTTTTTTATCGTCAATTTTAATTTTTGCCTTCCCTGTCACAGACGCCCCCATTGCTTATAGAATGGCATACTTAAAACTGGGCACATTTCAGGGTGTGTGTGTGTGTGTGTGTGTGTGTGTGTAGATTTTTAGCACTTTGAAAACCTACCATCTAATCAGGAGTCATCATGGTTTTCCCACATTTGCTTAAAGGAAAAAAGATACCCTTTGTTTCTAAAAATAAAGTATGTTTAGTATCTCTGACACATACTGTACACTTAATTTTAAACCACATAAAAATAGCTCAATCCTTATAGGTCCTATATTTAGTGTTTAACAAGTCAGTCACCAGACCACCTAAGGCAAATTACCTCACTTCTCTTTAACTCACTACCCTAATGTGGAAACAGAGGAAAGTAATTCTCAGGGCTCTTGACCACTGCAGAGGAAATAAATTTTAATAAACGATTGCAAGTCTTTTCAATAAAAGAGATGAATTTATTACTATAAACTTATTTTACAACTATTTCTAATGTGTATCCTTAAGGCAATACTTTACACAGAACAGTAACAATTCCTTTATCCTTACAATTTTGACTCAAAGCCACACTGTATTCTAAATAAGAGATTGATATCTTTCTACCATGAAATTCTAGTTGTGGAAGTCTGCAAGCCCCTTTGTAATGTTTTCCTTAAAAATTTCAAAATAATTTCCTTCTGCTTATTGTTTTCTGCTCTTGGAATCTAGTCTTCTTTTGTTGTATCAAAATGTATAACAATAATAATTTATAATAATATCTTATGTGTGTGATAGACTTTCTATCAGACTCTAAGTTCCATGAGAACAAGGATGGTGTCTATTTTTTTAACTGATTTCAGAGAGGAAGGACCTCGGGAAAGAGAGAGAGAAACATCAATGATGAGAGAGAATCATTGATTGACTGCCTCCTGCACGCCCCACACTGTTGGGGATGGAGCTCACAACCCAGGCATGTGCCCTGACTGGGAATCCAACCCTGATCTCCTCCTGGTTCATAGGTCAATGAATACCTCATCAGATCAATTAATGCAGATAAAGGTGAGGAGAATAAAAAGTGACCAGCACTAGACTACAGGGGTACTATGATGCAATATTCCCCAGCAGGGCTGTGTTGGACTTATAATAGCAGAAGGCTTTGGTGATACCTCATAAAGCTTCTGTTCCCGTGACAAACAGCAAGAGTAATCAGCTCAGAATTAGCCAGGAACTCACATAAAGGTTAATTAGAATAGAAACTATTTACAAGCATCTACATGTCAAAGGATAATGGACACATTAACATAAACAAGAACCGGGAAAGAAGCCTTCTGGTTAGACAACACCCATTGGGGAGAGTATATAAGAACCCCAGAGCAAGGAGACCTTCGTGTCTCAGAAACCTCATTTGTCTTGAAACCAAACCAATAAAAATCAGAGTCCCACCGCCATGGCTTGCTGTGTCCCCTGCTGCTGCAGCGTCCCCACCGGCCCCGCCACCACCATCTGCTCCTCGGACAAATGCTGCCGCTGCGGAGTCTGCCTGCCCAGCACCTGCCCACACACCACTTGGCTACTGGGGCCCACCTGCTGTGACAACTGCCCCCCACCCTGCCACATTCCTCAGCCCTGTGTGCCCACCTGCTTCCTGCTCAACTCCTGCCAGCCCACCCCATGTCTGGAGACCATCAACCTCACCACCTGCACTCAGCCCTGCTGTGAGCCCTGCCTCCCAAGCTGCTGCTGATGGAGGCAGCTTTGCTCAGCGCCTGGCGTGAAAGAGTCTACCCAGAAGCTTTATTGTTCACCCGTCTCAGTATCTGCAACTCATTGACTTTGCTTTCAAAGTTGGAACAAGGATGACAGGATTACTGACACACCACCGCTACCACCACCACCACCCTGCAAAAAAAAAAAGAAAAAAGAAAGAAGAAGAAACCAAGAGGCTTTCAATGCCATGTAGGGATATCAGTAATCAAGGACAATTGGAGCAGGTAGATGCCTAGGAATTTACCAAAATTGTTCAATTCCTTCATAGCAAAGCATATCTTTCTTTGGGTGTTTGGGAATTCTGTTTTCAGTCTTGAATGGCATCTTCCTAGAAACTGAGTAGCTTCTTCATGATCATTCTAATAAATTTTACGTCTCTGGCATAGCACAAATGTTTACAATTGCTTTGTTTTCTGTTAACTCATCAAATGTATTTATTAACTAAAAAAGTTGGCATTTTAACCAGTTAACTGCCATGATATTTTGAATGTAATTAAAAAAGGTCTGCTGCTTGTGTCTATAGACGCTTATGGCGTACAAATGGTTAAGAAGAACTGAGAACGTCTACAAGACTGAAAATGGTGGCAGTACAAATATTTCGTGCTTGTAAAAAAACTAAATGTCCTTGCATAAGAGATGGTTTATTATACTGGCATACATGAAAGTAGAATTTCTCTAACTTGTCCATTCAAAAAATGGTTTAAGATAGGTTGGGAAATACTGAACATAATCTGAAGATCAAATATGATCCTATATAATAAAAGGCCTATATGCAAATCAACCAAACGGCAGAACGACCAGTCGCCATGACATGCACTGACCACCAGGGAGCATACGCTCAATGCAGGAGCTGCCCCCTAGTGGTCAGTGCCCTCCCACAGGGGGAGCGCCACTCAGCCAGAAGCCGGGCTCACGGCTGGTGAGTGCAGTGGCAGTGGCGGGAGCCTCTCATGTCTCCGTGGCAGCGCTAAGGATGTCTGACTGACAGCTTAGGCCTGCTTCCCCATGGGGAGCGGGCCTAAGCTGGCAGTTGGACATCCCCTGAGGGCTCCTGAACTGCAAGGGGACGCAGGCCAGGCTGAGGGACTGCCCCCCAACCACCGGCAAGTGCATGATTTTCGTGCATCAGGCTTCTAGTATAACATTAACTCATCCAGGTGACCTGATCTATTTATGCAAAAAATTAATAATATAATGTCATTATTGAATTTCTATTTTTTGAATATTTACTGAGTGTTCTGCATTTTATTGTCCCTCCTTAAAATGAGCTGACAGCCTGGCAGATGAGGTATATACATACACAATATCCACTCATTCCTTCAGACAATTAACCATTATTTATTGAATGCCAGGCATTGCATTAAAATAAGAAAATACAAGTGATCTACCACTTTAGTAAAGTGCTGTGCTACTATAAAATTGAGAATAATTAAGAAATTAAGATTGCTCCCATGGTGATGAGGAGGAGAAAGACATAGCCAAAGACAAACTGACTGGAGTTAGGGGTCAAAGGGGTATGGAAGAAAAGAGGGCATCAAAGGAAAACTGGGCAGTGGAGTTACGTCACCAACTGAGCAAAGAGCTGGAGAGAAGGGAGCATAGAAAGAGGAGAAATTTTAAAAAATAATTGGTGTTCTGCTGTAGACATGTCAGGTTTGAGGCACAAGTGGCACATCTAAATAGAGTTTAGGCAGCTGGAATTTGTACAATGGTGCAAGGAAAGGAAGAGGTATGAGAAAGGATGCAGAAGTCTGTGCAAAAGTTTTTAATCAAGTAGTTGCAGGGGGCTGGGTTGCATGGACACAGGGTGAAATTCCATAAGGCTAGCAAAGAGTGCCTGCTGGGGGATAAAGAGTTCAGTGAAGATACAGAAATCATTCAATACTAACTGAATGTGCCAGCCCATTCAAAGTACCTTAGGCATTCATTCCATGTTCCAGAAAGATACACCAAAAGAGTAAGGATCACAACCTTGAGTAAGGAACACACAAAAGTATACCTGCCCTAGAAAAATCTAAAAAAGCCAAACCTGAGAGGATCAAGAGGAACTTCTAGTGACTTAACTTCCTATCAGAATAAGACTCAAAACTTTGCAACATAATCAAGACTTCCTAAAATATATCATCCAGAATGTACAGCATGTAATTAAAAATTGTTAGCCATGTGAAGAAGCTGGAAAATGTCTTCCACGATTCAGAGAAAAAGCAGCCAATAAAACAGGTCCCTAGATACACAGATGTCAGATTTAGCAAACAAGAATTTTAAACATGCCTGGCTGGCGTGGCTTGGGGGTTGAGCTTTTACCTATGAACCAGGAGGAAACAACCAAAGTGTCCCTCCGTAGATGACTGGGTAAAGAAAATGTGGTACAAACATACAGTGGAATACTACTTAGCCATCAGAAAAGATGAAATACTGCCATTTGTGACAACATGGATGGGTCTTGAGAATATCATGCTAAGTGAAATAAGTCAGCCAGAACATCAAGAACCATATGATTCCACTCAAATGTGTGATATAAAACTGAAAGCAACAAACAAACAAACAAGAAAAACAACCAAAAACAACCAAGAAAACCAGACAACAATATGACGGTTTGGGAGAAGTAGTAAAAGGTAAAGGAGGTCAAATATATGGTGAAGGAAGAAGATTTTTTGGGTGGTGGGCACACAATGAAATATACAGATAATGTATTATAGAATTGTACACTTAAAATCCATATAACTTTATTAAACAATGTCACCCAATAATTTTTTAAATGAATGAATGAAACTTCTGTATCTCCGAAGAAAAGCCTCCCATAGCTTGACTGACCCTACTCTGAAGTGTAATCACTGAGGATTTCCAAGAGTCTAAAAGATTGAAACTTAGAATTTACATTTCACTCTTATTAGGAATTCAGGGGGGAAAAATAGTATCCTTGATCTAAAACAGAGGCATAGGAAATGGGGAGAAGGCATGTTTCAGGACATTAAAAATCACAGCCCAGGTCTTGATAACCAACAAAAGGTCTGCTGTTTCATTTATATTTTGGCCTGGAGGGCATAAATTATGCCCATCAGCCATGTAAAGTGATCTTTCAATTTGCACACAGACAGATGTCATTTACACACAGAGAGACACAATTTAAACCAGTACATGACTCCCTCTTCTACCATGTGAGCACAAAGGTTTTGCAAATATTGATAGTCACACAGAACACGTTTATGGTGGTGGCACAAACAATATAAATGGTATTTAATGTGTTGTCATCTTAATTATAAAAGGAGACGTGAACAGTTTTCAATGCACTGCATGAAAATCTGTGGAAATACGATTTTCCTTATTTGTGATCACCTGTATTGGCCAAATATTCTCTTTCTTTCCTTATTCTGCCAAAAGGACGATGCTTTCTATAAAAACTTTCTAAAAACAAGTGTTTTATCCAACTAGCACATGGAAATGGTGTCCTTATTTAGTAACCTGAAGTTATGCCTCTTTTATGAGGCATAAAACTCCTTCTGAACAAATAAACAACACTAATGAATGTTCACATGAAAACTGGTACCAGCAGCGATAAAGACAACATCCCCTGCATTCTGTAAATACCCATTTGGGGGCTATATAAAAGTCCCAGGAGGGAAGGAGTCTTTTGGAGTCGGGCAACTTGAGTTTTGCTGCTGATCTTTGTTCCTCGCTTCTTAAGATGACTTCCGACAGTTCCCCCACATCCTGCTCCTCTGAGCCCCATGCCGGGGTTTCTGATGGTGCAACTGCTTCAACCTGTTCCACGGAAACCACTGGTCTCCCCAACGCCTGTGCTACATCCAGATGCCAGACTCCTGGCTTCCTGTCCACGTCTCGCGTGCCAACCACTTGCTTCGGGCCATGCTACCTCGCTGGGAGTTGTAACCTTCCCTGCGTGCTGGGGAACTGTGCTTGGTGCGAGGACCGGGTGTTCAACAGCAACGAGAAGGAGACCATGCAGTTCCTGAATGACAGACTCGCCAGCTACCTGGAGAGGGTGCATGGCCTGGAGGATATGAATGCCGATCTGGAATGCAGGATCCGAGAACAGTGCGGAGGGGACATCCCATTGGTGTGCCCCGATTATCAGTGTTACTTCGACACCATTGAAGATCTCCAACGAAAGGTCTGGTGTCTTCTTGTCCTAATGCTCCACTTTGCCAATCTGTGATCAGTGCTTTCTTTACACTAGAAGAGGCTCTAGAAGGAAACCGGGGTAAAGGGACTTCCAGGTGGCGCTGTGATACAGTCCAAAGGACACTGGACTGAAAGTCGGGACACAGCTTACCCCAGGGCTGCCACTAATTACTGAGGGACCACAATAAACTCATGTACCTCTAGACTTTATCATCTACAGAATGAGGAAAAATTGTGCTATATGTAAAATTACTTCTGTAGGTAAAACTGTATACCTGTATTATTTTTAACATAGATATTGAAATGTCATATTTTAAATCATATTATTTCACCTACTAATAATTTTCTTACTGATGAATTTTTATTATCATAGATGGGGATATAGTCATAATAGAAACGACTTATGGAGAAAAATGTAACAGAGTTACAGCTGCCAAGGAAGATTGCAAATGTCTTGGGTCATTACAAAACTAAGCCTTTTTTCTCTGTTTCGTGTGCAAATTAGCACTCCTTTTTCCTTCATGCAGTGACATGGTCAATGAGAAAAGCAGGCTAAAAGCTATGTTATACTTTCTTACAAAGACTTTTAAAAGGTAAATCATGGCATAGCTGTTCAATGTGTAGATATACGTTTGTTTCAAAGAACCACTTATTATTAACTTACCTTCCAGATTTTGTGCACGAAGGCAGAGAATTCTAGACTCACTATACAGCTTGACAACTGCAAACTGGCGGCCAATGACTTTCAGTCAAAGTAAGTTTAATTTAATTTTGAATACAATTTATGCTCTCTCTCTCTCTCTCCTCTCTCTCTCTCTCTTTTTCTCTCTCTCTCTCTCTCTCACACACACACACAAACACATCACATATGTTTATATAATATTTTTTAAGTTAAGAATGTTCACAAAGCTCAAATTTATCATTATTTGGGATGTAAAAGAAATTATAGCTCCTGGCTTCCTTGAGTCCACATGTCAT